GAAGATCAATCTTGGCAGAGTGAAGGAAAAATGCTGGCTTTCTTCATGTTAGCTCATCTCATACATATCTATCTTCAGCTGCTGCCCAGTACTGTGGTGCTCTGCATTAACTACACAGTGGATCAATAACAATTACACCTTCTCAAAAACATGACACATAGCAGGATTGGGTTGACATTTCACTTAGGCCAACATTGATCTCAGTGCATCTGATTCCAGTCCTAAATTCAAGTCAGGCCTGGGTCTAGCTGGAATAAACACACAGTTAAAAACAAAAAAGGAAACCAGCTGCTTGTGCCTTGGCTCAGAAGTAAACAGCACATCCATCTGTGCATCCCCCATCTCCAATCCACTGTTCTTCCTGTTGCTACTAGTGATTCTAAAGTTGATCAAAGACTACTTTTTATATGAATTACTCACCGTGACATCAATGTTGATAATATCTCCATCCTGAAGAGGTCGACTGAAACATAAACAGAAAAAAAACCCCACGGTGACAGACAGTTCCCAACAAAGGGAACATAAGAATAAACACCTAATGACACATACATAAAAAAACAGGGGGTAGATATTTCGTGATGGAGGAAGGCAGAGGCAAACAGAATAACCATTTTTAATGTTCAGCTCTCACTACTTAGAGAACAAGTGTAGCTGAATATAAAATAATGAGAAACAACTACCAGAAAAACATATCAACGCCTAAAGAATCTACCATTACATTTATTCTTTTTCGCTCACTAGGGTTCATATTTTACTTTGTGAGTAGCTGAATATATTGCAAATAAAAAACCAACCCTCACAAAAATTCAAATATATTTATTTCTTACCCTATACTTATTTTGCTGGAGGAAAAAAAAATTAGACTGTGTTGTTTGTTTTTTTCCACACTAAGCTCTAAAGGCATAATGGTATTTTTTTTAAGTGTCTGGACAAACAGGATAATATTTCACATACATTTTTATAACATCTATCAGTATCATGTGGTAACACAATATGCCTCTGCAATATTTTACGTATGACAGTTAAGCTGAAGTATGTTCAATATTAAACACAATTTATTAATTTCAGTTTAACATTTTCATTTCTGGTAGTAGAATGTATATTATTGGGGAAATACCTGTCAGGAATACCATGACATACTACGTTGTTTACAGAAGTACAAACAGATTTTGGAAAACCTCCATAGCCCAGAGGTGACGGATAGGCATTCTGTCTGATTATTTCATGATGAACAATGGAATCTATTTCCTCAGTTGTCATGCCAACCTAAAATATCAAACATAACACCCTGTTAAAAAAGCAAAGATAGTTTCTCATATTTACTGAATGTGATTGCAGCCAAACATTTCAATGAAATGTTGGGTGTTTCAAATATGCTGCTTTGATACAAAACACTGATATACTTTATTGATACATTGGGCTTTTTTTTTTAAAAAAAAAGGTTTTAAATGAAGCATGCAGCAGAAATGAGCACTCAAAGGTTCCTAGAAAACCTAAAAAACTGTCTACTTCCTTTCCGTTCTTTTTTCTACATTTGCTTTCTCAAAGACACCAATTTTCCACGGCATCTTGTTTCAGTAGCTGCTATAGAAATGTCTGGTTTCAATGCTTTCAGTCCTTTGAAACGCAACATTACTTTCCCTTTTTATATGTAAAAGAAAGGAACTTAATTCTTATAACTGCCTAGTACATTTATCATAATGTATTCGTGCATTTTATGAAATTGCTTTCCAAGTATTCTTTAATTTTACAAAAGATTTAAATATTTGGCTTCATATCTTGAGGAAATTTCACCTAAAGTTGCCATAGTCTGGATGATCACAGCGAATCTAGAAGCGCTTATCCATTATTTTTAGAAATCTTCATTTTTCTGCTTGATGTTTTTTAGATTCATCTTTTCCTCACAGTTTTACGTATTAGAAAAAAACCTCTCATAAATCATTCAGCCATTTTCTGAGTATCCATGGAGTGGGAAATGTACATGCTTAAAATAATGTTCTTTTCGCTCTTCTTTCGGATTGACTCTGTCACAGGAATGGTTAGATCTGAAATTTGGTAGGGAAGCCTACCTCATTGAGAAGAAGTGCCTTTGAGGGTTCCTCTGAAAATTGATTTTGATTTGAATGAGTTTTGAGATTTTGAAAATCATACTTTGTACACATACACTACGGTGGCTGTGATTTTGGAGGAACTTTTAGTAACATGTGGAATATTGGTGGGCTGTGGCGCAGGAGGCATGCTTATCCATATATTGAAATATTCAGTGATCACACACAGCGAATACAGCGGAGTGCACTTGTGCACTGTGCCGACGATAGAACAAGGTCTATTTGCTCAGCTTGCACCTTGTTCAGCATGAAAACGTGGTTGGGCAGATGGAGAGCGATGAACTCACTCATAATCAACACTTGGGGTTACTTTGCAAGACCCCTGCTTTGCAATAGCCAATGCAGCCTCTCTGCTGGGACGGCAGCCGCAGCCCCAGCGCTCCCTGTATTGGATCCTGCAGCCATTAGTTCTGGAGCAAATACAGGTTTGTTGCCTCTGCCTTCACTCACCCATCTATCATCTTCAGCCCATAGAAAAACTGAATCGCTATGTACCAGACCGGGTGCTGCCTGCTGCTGCTCAGCTCGAGGTATTCGACATGACTTTTGGACACTCAGCAGACAGACCCATGCTCTCTGCAGTGCAAGCTTATGCACTGTGAAAAGTTCTGCTTTTAACAGTATTTCCTTTACTTTTAAAGGAGCTTTTGCTAGCTGGGTGAGGTTGGGAAGGCACTTACTGTGCACCTCTTCCCTTATTTGGGATGGGGTAATCTGATGGTATCTAACAAAATACTTCCATGTCATAGAATTTCCTGGTTTATTTCCAAATCTTTAATTCAAACCCAGGAAACACTATCATATATAATGCCATATTGCACAGGCAGTAAATGGTAATATCAAAACCACACTCCATCTCAACTTTGTCTCTCTGCATCCATGCACTGTAACGCACCTTTGTTATACTGGGGGATGTTACTGCCATTAGCTAAAGCCCAGGTGAGAGCCGGTTTGGAGGGCTGCATGCAAGGTAGGCTCAGCAAGACAACAGGAACAGGTGGAGTGATGGGGCTCTTCAGATAAAATAGGAATGCAGAGTTTACCTTATGCGAATAGCCTAAAAGAGCACGGTTTGTTTAGTCTGCCGCACTGAAAGCTGTAATAGCTCTATTACTGTGTGAAGCGGACAGATTCAAGGCAAGGCAGGAAGCTGTTTGAATTAAAGAGCGGTGTTGGCACAAGAACAAATGGGTATAAACTGGCCATGCGCATTGTCAGGCTGGAAAGCTGTCAATGAGGGAGGGTTTTGGAGCATCCTCCCAGTCAGGGGAGTCTTGGCCAAACAGTGGTGTAAAGCGGAGTTCACCACTTGTATGCGCTGACCTGGGCAGTGGCCTCAGCACTGCACCTTCAAATGTCACCTCCCTCTCAGGCCACAGCTCCTGGTCACATAATTCTTACTATGTACACCTTCTTGTTCCAAAACGTCCATTACATGTATGTAGTATTTTGCCATTATGTAGTATTTTGCCGTTATGTATGATTTGGCATATACTGTGAACTACATCATAAGCTACACAGTGCTGGCGTATGTACATATTTTACACACGACAAAAACGAGGAGTATTAGTGAAAAACTGCTTTAATTCAAAACTCACATTACATCCTGATCCCTCAGAAATATGTACATGTCTTAACTTTACATTAGTAAGTTTTACTGTACTGGGAACTAATTATATGTAAAGAAGTTAAACATGCAGGAGCTGGGAAATGCACATAAAGAAAAACACACACAAGCCTATGTAAGATTAAAGCTTCCAGCACTTTTGTTATTGGCCGTCTCAGCTCCAGAATGAAACCTCTGGAAAAGTGTGATGACTGCTGAAAGAAAAATGCACAGTAAACTGATAATTTGTTCCCCTTTTAAGTCAATAGCATTGACCTACAGTCCCCATCTATCTCTGCCTCTTATAGCTACTCAACCCATTTTACCCTACCCAGTACACTATGGAGCAAAATGCCAAGGCAAGGCTGAAAAAGCACTCCTTCATCTGCAAAACCTGGTAGTAGGCTCCTCCCAGTACTTTTTAACTTGGGAGGTATCCCAAAAAGCATACTGTAGAAACATTACTGGAAGTTATGAGGCTTTATTATCGACACACTCTGGAAAATTGTGTGGAATTTGGCAGCTGTTTTTTCCAACGGCAGCTCTATGTATTGCACTGGCCCCTGTGGGACTGCGAGGGGCTGAAGGATGGACGGGAATGGAGGAGTCAGAAAGCAGGGTCAGAAAGCACGACATATGAGGAAGATGGGCCATGAAATGAAAGGAAGAAATGTAGTGTGGGCCTTGTGAGGAACTCACGTGGTTTGGCACAGCCTCAACAGAGGGAGATTACAGGCAGACAGATATTACACCTGAGCCAGCAACTCACTCTAAGTACTACACAGGTCCAAAATACTGAAATACTTAAACAGGCATATCATGAGCTGAACAAAAGGTTAATAAACCCTTATTTTTTCAGGATTCAACTTAAAGTTGGATGCACATTAAGGGGAAGTTAAAAACCAAATGAAATAGAAAAATCCACCAAATAAGTGAAAGCAGAAAAGACATCCAAGCTGTTATGAGACTTCTGTAATTGTTACCTTTAAGCCCTTTCCAGCCAGAAGCAGGATATGACGGGCCAACTGACAAGCTTGACGAAGCCCTTGAATCTGATCTTCATTCTTAATTTCTATGTCGTCTCCCCAGTCTGGTACAATGCCTGTCGTCACATAGTCTGGTTTCTTTATGTGCTTGGAGAAAAAGGATTGAAAATGAAGATCAGAAAACTGAGCATGACAATGGGATCATTTTCTCAGATACTGCCTCCTGCTTCATGGCAGCTTGCCCTTTCTGTCGTAGTATCGACCTTCCTAAGCCATCAGGGCAAACCCTCAAGGCTGCCTCAGTATTTCTTCCACTGCCCTTTTGAACTTAACATTGCCTGTTACTACTGACTTATCCAGTCTGTTAGCCTTCCAGTGCTGAAAGCCCAGATGCTGCAGCCAATTTCCAGCGCAGACGGTCACAAGTTTTGAAACTCTGAGAAACGGACTTAAAAACTCTTCTTTTGCTTTTGCAAAGAGGCACATTTTCTACAAAATGAATCTAAACACTGGTACAAACATACAGAATTAGGCTTAAAAATAAAATTGATCAAATCCTTAGTTTCTCATTCAGACAAAACTCCTATTAACTTCCATGAGACTGCTTTTTGATTAAGAACCTTGGGATTTAACTACTGTTACTTTAGAGGTTTTTACTTATTAACCTAGTCGATGTGCTGCACCCAAATTTGTCCATCTACAACAATATGCAAGGGTATTCCAATTGTCTATGTCAAGGAATGTGTGATAAACTTCATTTCTTCCACACATAAAGTTCTCAGCCCTTGTACAGAGGTGGCATTTCATTTCTGATTTTTAAAATCCACAACAAATTCATGACATGCACACAAACACAGCAAACTAGTAATAATAGTAAAATCTTGCACAGAGATGGAAACACACTCTCTCTCGGAGGGTCCTGGGCTGTTTCGCTGGCTGGAGAAGAGCCCCTTCACCCACCACAGCTGGGCTGATTCTCTGCCATGCCGGCCCCAGGGCAAGTTTCGCACTGACTTCACAAAATACAGAATCAAGCTGGCAGGCAGAAAACAAAGTGGGGACTTGGGCTTTAAACAGCAAGACCACACAACAGCAGGGTGTAGGAGTAGAGAAGAGTGGGGCAACCAAATAGCCCTAACAGGACTCTAGAGAGGAAGACTATTGTTACTCCTACATGTATTTAATTTCTACTCTGATAAAAAGTTAAACCAATATAATTGAAAAAAAACACATGTATTTCAGTGTGATTTCTGGCGTATAGCCTGTATAAAGTAATAACTTTGCCCTCAATTTTTCAGAGTTGAAGAACTGGACTAATTTCTAGATATTCTGAGAACTCTGAGCTGTGAAAACAACTTTTCAGTATGACAAGATATTTCTCCCTCTTTATCCTAAAAGAAGCATCTAAAAAATAAAGTGTTTAACTTCTATAATTTCAAAGCTTTCGAAAATATATGAAGCCTGTAACCCTATGTTCTCCCTGTATACAGAGCTTCCATAGCCTCTTAGGTGTAAGAGCCCTATATCCAGCATCCTTATCTGCTTTCCTGTCTAACAACTTATTATTATTTCTGGCCCACAGAAACACTCTATATTTTGCATAAGAAATCTATAATGAAATGAAAGGTAAAATAAAAAAAGTACTAATATACCTCCTGTTTAGAAAGGGTACTTTGGTCTTTTTTTGGCTAAAGGAAAGACCTAAACAATTAATCTGTATGCTGTAAGTAAATGGGGGGAAAAGAAGAAAAAAAAGAAAAAGGAAACCACAAGTGAAACACATGTTAAAATTGAAAATTGCATGAAAAAGTTCCTTTTGGCTCTAAAATAGTAATAATAAAAAGTATATGTTATAAGAAAGAAAATCACCCAGGCAGAGTAAAGACAAGTTTAGAATGTGCAGTGGGGTTGCAGGGCAGCTTCCAGCAGGTATTATACATTCTCTTCCTAAAGCTGACATAACCAATTCACAAAACCTTCAGCAAAATATAAACATTTTTATAATTAGCTTGCTAGAGATTTATATAGAAAAGGGCTGAGATGATCATGAATGATTCTGTGTGACTTTTGGTAGGACCATCTATGATTGTCCAACACAACAATCTGGACCCAGAAATGTTAAGTGTTGACAGATAATTATAATATTTCACATTTATAATACCGTAACTGAACAAATCGCAGGTGTGAACTCCCCAATAACTACATACGCTGCTGTGTTTAACATGGTAGGCAGCTGAAAACTTCTCCCACCAGTGCTCCTAAGTTCAAATACCAGATCAAGCAACAAGGGAGGGATCCAAGCCCACATGTGTTGGACAAGGAATACATTTGACCACGCCTGCAGTCAAACTCTACATGGACTGAAGAACAGATTAGTTAATAGAAATTGCAGTACCTTAGGAACTGGGTGAGCTGGAGAAACGGTGGCTGGCCAAACTACACTATAAGCAGTATTTCTTTGTCCCTGAAAAAAGAAGCATCTTCGCTGTTGATTGCTTGGCTGCCTGCGCAGGTAGATATGATTGCACGAAACAAAGATTGTGTAGCAGCGAGTCACAGAACCTGTTAACAGGTAAGTTAAAAATGGTTAACATTTTTTTCTACTACCATATTACAAAATGGAAAGTACGCAAAAAGAAGGGCATCATGTGAAACAAACCACGGAACTCACGTATAAGGCTGGTTCAAATCTTGTACCGTTACAGAAAGAGTATTAACACTGAGAAACAATGAGAACAAAAAACCCCCTCCCCAAATAATACTTTGAAGCTTTATAAAATATCAGATCTGTTTTGGTTTGGTGCATAAATAATAGTGTGGGTAAGTTCCCCAAAGCCAGGAGTGACTGGACCCTGCTTGGAGCAATTTGCATGGCCAGAGGCTGCACCGTCCAAGGCTCGGACAAGAGCAAGAAAAGAGGAGAGAAAAAAAAAATGACTTAATGTTGATTTCAGACAATATTTTTGGCTGTATTTTTGCAGAATTGGTCACTGACTTGAGCATAGCCAAGTTAATGTTGTTCTTGTTTCTGCCAAGACACAAGGAACAGGGTTCAATTTGTCTTTCCTAGCAGGGCAACAGAACAAACTTCAAGAGATATTTTAAATCTTGGCCAAAGGCAATTGAGGGGATTAAAGCTTGTAATTGACTTGGAATATTCAAATCAGATTTCCGTTTAATTCTCATGGGAATTCAGGATGACAGTTCATCAGAGTATTCACTGCTCAAACTTCGTTGTTGAGCAATGACACATTTTGCCTCCCTCAAAAGAGAAAAAAAAGCCACAAAAATTAAAAAAAGGGCATTGAGGCCCAAAGGTTGTCAGAGACATCAAAACCAAAATAATGCATCACAAAAGACATAGCTAGCATCAAAACTGTGGAATATACTAAATTGAAAAGAACTACTGACACTGCCCAATTAAACTACAATTATACGTAGTGCATATTTCCATTACTCAAGCACTCTACAATTTAAACAGAAGGGTTTTTTGAAACATAAGTTTCACATAATAGTTAATCTGCTTCTGAAGAATGTCATATGTATACAAACACAAGAGCAATTTTTTGTGGCAAGTAACCCATATGAATAATTGCTCTTTAGTACAAAGGAAGTGTTTTAGTTTAAACAGAAGTAACTAAACAGTTTTATATCACAGATTAAGAAATGAATCAACTGCATATTTTGTAACTATGTAAAAATGGGCAGGTTTTTTTAGTTTCTTCCAAATCTTGAATGTTTTTGTTTTATTGTACCTTCATTCCTTTCATTTGGATGCATTTATCATGTTCACATGCAGAAACTGTTCTTCCACATGCACACCTGGATTCACAGACAGCCCTTTTACAACATTTCATGATACACAGATTTTTGTTATGCACTTTTTAGAGCCCCAGAACCCAGAATGAAAGAAATAATTGCATGAGGTTTGCTTTAGAAGTGTTCCTCACTATCTCTCTGCACACTGATCAGTGCTACATTTATTTACCAGTATGTGAAAGGTTGTAGAGACTTTTCACAGAATCACAGCAGTTTAAGGGTTGGGAGGGACCTCAAAAGATCATCTACTCCAGCCCCCCTGCCAGAGCAGGATCACCTACAGTAGAGTACTTTTACTCAATGCAAGCAAATTTCTACTGTTTTTTAAACATTGTTAGTAAGTAACTAGGCAGAGCAGGAGAGTGAGGCTCAGGTTAAACTCTCAGTATAAACTGGGTACCCCAATGGAAGGTGCTTTCTTCCAAAGGGAAGAGAATGTATCCATGGAAGTGGAGCTGCCCAGTTAACAAAGGGCTGGATTGGTTTGATGGTGTTTTAATTATGGTTTAATCAACAATCTCATCATCTTCTGCTTTCCTAGGGCCTCCTTCACAAGAAAAAAACAACACTGTCCAAGTAAAAAAAAAATAAAAATCCAGGCCATCTAACCTGCAAAAGAGCCCAAAGCATGCTATAAACTCCCTGGCTGTTTTGCACCCACTTTGCACCACTGGAGACTGGAAGGACAGAATCTCCTGAGATGGCAACTTTTGAGTAACTAGAAGCAGCAATCAATCCCTCAGCCTAAGCTAAGGTAGCTCTTTTACAGAGTGCACTGGAAGTACCTTGCTCTTGCTACAGGTATTATAAATATATTAAAACCCCACACTCACTGATGTGGTCAGCCGAAGTCCACGTGGACATCAATACGGAACTGTATTTCAAGGGCTGTCATTGACACATGGCATGTTGCCCGGGCACCTTGCCTACTGTGTACAAGTCTAACTGGGGAAGAAAAGGTGCAAGTGTGCTTGTCAATTACTCAACAACAAAACTCCAAATGTCACAAATACACACTCTTAAATACATTAAAACGTGTTTATATTCATGGGTGTTTGCCTATGGACTATGCCACGTTCAGAAGGGATACCTTTTTTTTTGGAATACAATTTTTACCTCTGCTCTCCCAAAGATACGCTATACGTGTTGTCACAAGATAACAGGATAATAAGGTGCTGTAGTCTGTTGTTATTCTACTAACCGCTCATTATAAACCAGACTCATACAAAAATATCTACTACTTGAACAGATGAAACGCGACAACCAAATAAATATCACCATAGTATAATACGACTCCTAAAATACATCACAAGAATTACAAACACAGGACAATTAAACCTTTATTTGAAATGTAAAAAATTGTAACAGAAAACATTCTCCTACAAAGTAGAAATAAAATTACATAAAATGGTATTAAAATATAATGAAGTTACTGTTTTATAATGAAAATCTGGACTCCATCCACACACTTCCTTCCTCAAGAAGGCCTTTCTAATGCCTCCACAGCTCCTTTTATTTTTTAAGCTCCCATATTCACAGCTAATTCGATATAGCAACATCATCAATCACTGGAGACAGGAACAACTGGCTGTATTCTCCAAGTCTGGCTCAGCTACTCCCTCCTCCCCATCCCTTACATCTAGCAAAGCTTTTCTCGGTGCCTTATTTATTCCTGCACCACTGGCGCTCGAGCGCATCCTTTTTGTTAAGCTTTCTGTGCGTATTAATTACTGTAAGATAGTTCGTAAGTGTGGGGTTATGCAGCTTCCAGCGGGAACCACAGCCATCGGAGAGAGCCCGGCGTCTGAAGCCAGGTGGACTGGTGACACACCAGCACGGCCGGGATGCAAAGTTGACCCTTTACACGGTTCTTCTCCCCCTCAACAGCAAGGCTCTGAGTGACAGAATATTTACTATCAGCTGCAGTAAGGAGAATTATTGCCAGCGTTACTGAATCACATCGGCAGATACGATGTACTGAGCACAGAAAATTACAGACAACTGCTCCTCTGACTCAACGGTGAATCACACACTGTGCAATCTGTATGCACGCATGGCCTGCCCGAGCCGCTGGATTCCTCCGCATACCTTCCAGACCTTAATTTGTATTAATAATATAAGTATGCACCGTGAGCTTTTGTGAATTACCAGATGAATTTATCTTATGTGGAAATTACATTTTCTTTTTCTTTTAAACGAGCCAGCCAGAAGGGCTGAATACAGAATTCAAGTAGGATGATGGGTGGGAGCATTTTAAGTGACTGATTTTGCAGCACAATGTGCCCTATATTTATTAGCCTTTTACTCTAGGTCTATATTAATTGTTATCTGTTCATGCATGCTACACTATATAATGAAATGCTCCCATTTCACTCACTGAGTAGAGATTTTTTTATGTGTATCTCTATTAATGACCCTCAATTAAGTTGATTTTAGTCATTTAAATGTGATTTTCCTCTGGTCAAGAAGTATTTTTGAAGGGAGACGTTGGAAATGAACTCTCACATAAGCTCTTTTCTGGTGCTTTTTGTTTAACAGTTACAGTAATTTATCAGCTATCTTTTCAGTGAATGACATGTGGGGTAGCCATGCAAAAAACTGCTCATCTACATGATTCATCAGATGTGATTATTAGCAACCGTGGTTTTTTTGTGTTTATTTATGAAAGACTTCAAAAGTGTTACCAAAGGGTAAACTTCATGACTGTTCTAAGCTACAATAAATACAAGGATGCAGCTTAAAAGAGTCAAGGGATAAAATCAACATATTTAAAAATAATTAGTCATAGTATCAACAGAAGCACAGTACCAAAATTATTTAGGACTACAAGAATTAACAACCAACCCATTTAGGAAATAAAATCAGCTTGCCCTTGAAAAAATACATCTTACTTAATATATATGAACAATTAACAACTTCAAAGGCATTGTTCTGTTCTGATAACTCTTTTCAAAATATGTGATTTAATCTTTTTTTTACAACTGAAGAAAGAACTACTATGGAAATTTTCTTAGTATATATGCACTTGAGGGTAAAACACTAGAGATCTTTAATTTGGCTTGTCAAGTCATTTTAATAGTACATAATAATTTTGCTTCTTGTGCAAATATTCATTCTGCTGAAACTTCAGAAGAATAAAGTTTAAAGCAAGGTATTAAAAATCACTACGGGTAATAATAATACATGGAATCCAGTCAATGTAGCTAGGTATAAATATGTAGCTTTTTAGTGTTAATTACCAAATGTTCCCATTTTTCAGTCTGAAATGATGGTTGTGGTTTGAAAGATCTTTACTTGGAATTGTAATTCTAACTGTCTAATAAAACACTGACTTTGTAATCCCCATGTACGTCCAAGCTTCAAAAATAGGATGGGAAAGATTAAAGGTTCTCTCCAACTCTATGTAACCTGTGTAGCTGAAGAGCAGCTCACATTTCACAAGGAATAACCTGTGCATTTGCTTAAAAAAAAAAAAAAAAAAAACAACATAGGGAAATGCCTGAGGCAGAAGTTGAAACTGATTGGGCAAAGTAGAAGAACAAGAGCCCTTGAAATTAAACAAAAGCAAATTCATTCTGTTGACAGATGTTGATTACATCAAAGCCACGAAAGAACTTTTTTGTTTCTATTTTTTTTCCTTTTTGCAACCAATACCTCCACATTTTCTGTACATTAAGGATATAGCATATCTTAATCAACATAACCCAACATGTAATAATTTTTAAATCTGGTAAAAGTATATTGTAACGAGGTCTTAACGACAGGCTTCTCCAAACAAGAGTGTATTCACATGGTCATGTCTGCATACCCGTGCTGGTCACGCCATCATCAGCCCCTTACTTCCAGGGGTTAACTGCTCTGGCAGCCAAATAAAATACAGAGAGCACTGTGTAATTATGGAGACAGTCAAAGGGCAGACTCTATTTTGAAATCTATTTGCACAGACAAGGTCTTCCAATTTCGCTTACAGGAAACAAGCTGGTAAAGGGGGTCTCCTCCTCTCCAGATGCTTTCCACACGTTTTTCCCACATCAGGAAATCGTGGACATGGACACCATGCAGCACTGTTTCCTGGATTGCAGGACTATGTCATTACAAGGAGAAGAGCAAGTCCATGCTCGTGAGAAATATTTCCTCCTAATTGCCCATATTAGGGGAAAGCAAAACCCACAAGGACTACTGAACATGCAACTAGCAGCAATTTGTAAACAGGACGCAGGCACAGCTGTCATGATAGTACTGGGAAAAAGAAAACAGAAATGAAAGGGTAAAAACACTCTGTTCTTAATAGCATGATTGGGGAAATGAAATATTCATCAGGAGAGATGTGACTCCAGTTACAACTGCAGCACATTGGTGAAAACCTCGACAACAGCACGCTTATGGCCGTACCCTGACAAACCGAAACACAGGCCAGTATCTTGCAAACATTATATTCTAGTTGGTAGTGTTTTCTTTAATGATTTAAATTAACTGGAAATTAATGACAGAAGATGTTTAGTTAATAAGGCATTAACAGAATTGTTGTTCTTGTTACTCTCACAAGAAGCAACAAAGCAAAGCAACGGCCAAACGCCGACTGCCTCCAAGGGAGAGGAGTCAGCACTGGGACTCCTCTAAGACACCGAAAAAAGTTAAGCTTGGCTCTCAGGACCAGTTAGGCTCCCTGCTAATTACAATTTTGCCCTTATTTCACTGAGAGCAGAACCGGGCAACTTGTCTGCCGTATACCAATACAAAAGAGCTTTTTAATTGGGTGTAAATTTATAAACTGTATGAAAATACATTCTTGTTTGGTTCTACTTCTTATGACTTAGTCTAGACCAACACACTAAAATGATGAATCAGTGGCTTCTGCAATAGTGCCATTCTTCTATTCATTATTCAGTCAAACTTAGGGCCAATGAAATAGCTGTTCTACAAGTTGGTAAACTGGGAAACCACTGAGAATCAGAACCTCTTCTATTTACAGGAAGGATGACAGCCTAAGGGTACTTCATCCCAATAATAACAACATTCAAGTAACGGTGCCCAGGTCATGACAAGCCATGACCCTCCCCATACTCCTTCAGGAAGCTGGCTCGGTGCCACCTTTTATCAGCAGCAACCAAAAGTGCAACTTTAACAAACAAGAAGAAAAGGAAAAATTAATTTTAGATCCTAAAAAACCCCTTCAACCAACTGAGAAGTTATGAGTGTGTATATATATATACAGGCACAGAGTCAAACCAAACCGAAAAATAACTGGGTGAAATTCTGCTATCATTAAACAATACTTTCCCGTCTTATCACAGGATTAAAAAAATATAGAGAACAAGCTAACTGTATTTGAATGATATTCATTCATATACCAAAGGAAATTAATTGTCTATTACAGAAAATGGGACTGGGCTGTGCAGGCTTAACTTCAGGAAAAGGCACGGCAGTTCTCTCATGGCACCTTCCATCCTAGTGTTATTTTTACTACATTTTCTCTCTCCAAGAGAATAACACAAGTAGAAAATAAGAAGAAAGTGTTGTCTAAAGCAGTATCACAGAAAAATGAAACAAGTCAGGTACAAAAGCTGGACGAAGCAATATTAAGAGCTTCACACACAGCAATATCAGGGGAATTTAGGCTCCAGATCACAGCATCTGGCAAGTTTCAACTTTTTTGACTAGCAGAAGAAACATTCCTCTTATGTTACTGCATTCCTAAATTGAGTAAATTAATCTATCATAAAGTGAATGAGAAAAATATCTGCTCAGGTTTGCATATTTAAATGCATATTTCAATCACTTTCTATCTATCTACAGTTTTTAAAAATATCTTAGAAATTACTTTTGCTTGAAAGACTGGTTATTGTATTAATCATTTTGATTTTGTAGCGAAGTAACAACTGCTAGAACAAGTTACTCAGTTTAAAAAAGAGCAGTTGTTTCAGTTTAAAATAATAAGCTATTCAAATACTCCTTACACACACGCACAATACTGAATCTTGTTGTTAATATGCACCCACCCACAGCTTTAACATTTCACTGAATCCTACTGGGAAAAAATCTTTTCAGGTGCTCTGCGAAACAACTGTTTTTCAACTAGCATGTTTATGTGCCTGATATGGTATTAAATCTTAAAAATAAACCCTACTTTAACCTCTTAAAGTTCCACCTGAAATCGAAAAAATGTGTCTGAATCACCACAGCAAAACGTTTCCCACATAAACCCTTTCGGTGGGTGAGCAAGGCTGCTGCAACAGGAGTCATCTTTGCATAGAAAATGTAGGAGCACTCCTGAACATTGTATCAGGATTTTCTAAGTAGCTTGAGGCACAGGAAGAAAACGGGCAGTCAGGACTCTTTTCTCGTGCAAAATATAAGACCTACTGCAATAATTATTTTCAATACACCTGCAACCAAATCTCTAAGGATACAAGATGATTTCTGAATTGCAAGCCAGTCTTGTCGCAAAATAATAATTTTTTAAAAAGTGTATACTGCTAGCAATTTTGAAATTAATATAATAAAATGCGATCACACTCATTTGGTCTTGCCTTGTATCAAATGCTGTTAATTTTATTGTCCTGTTTTCACATGAAAACGCAAGCTACATTAGGACAGTGACTCTTTGCTGAGTACTTGCCCTTCTCTAGAACAAAGGTTGTGGAATTACGTCCTATAACCTGGGCTTTAAAATATATGAGCAGAGAGGTGTAAGAGTTTACAGCTTACTGTGGTGGTGGTGGAAATAAGCTCTTTTTTTTTGTTGTTTTTTGCTTTTTCTCCCAAGAAGATGCTCTGCACAAGGAAGATGTTCCAATCAAGATCTGGCTGCAGATAACTTGCAGCATCCTTATTAAAACATTTATTTTTAAACCTGTCAGTCATGAGTATGTGCTACTAATGCATAACTTGGAAGCTTATTCATAAATATGTGATGTTTGGGTCACTGAATGAGTTACAATGATAGGATTATGGATCAAATTTGGAAGAGTACGGTATAATGTTTGGGAACTGTTTTAATTCTTTTTTCTTTAATGCATTTCACTTATCTCTTTGCTTACCATTAACAAAGACCTCTTTCTTATCATAAAAGTCCCTGTTTATCAAACAGTGATACAGGAAGAAGTTGTTTACGTTTTCAAAAGTACCAACATACATCACTTATGACAAAAAAAACAAGCACTCCATAAGAAATGCTCAATCACTGTCAATCATACACACTAAAATATACATAAACCAAAGCATGTGCTGTGAACAATATTAGATTCAAACTGAACACAGAATTACAACTATAACAAACAAAAAACAAATAATTACAAGTGACTCATAGGCCTATTTACACATCTCACCAAACTGCTGGAAAGGTAGGTAACCATAGAAACCTGACAGTCTAAATTCAGTACTTTAAAATTTGTATTTAGTTTAAAATGCTGAAAATTATGTTTCTATTTGACGAAATCCGTATTTTTAAAGGCTTCAGGTTTTGCTTTTATACCTAAATAAATGCTTAAAATTATTTAATCTCTTAGTTACTAATAATTTGCCTTTTAAATTTTATTTTATCCCAGTAAAGATTACAGCTTACACTTTGTAATAGAAATTGTTAATACAGTTTAATACCACAAATTAATATTTCTAACATTTTTTTAATGACTGAAATTAAATAATGATATAAAATACACACTCCTGCACTTACTATTAGATATTTTGCATATAGACTTTTCTAAGCTGCACATTAAGAAAAAAAATTACTCAAATTAAACGTTAAAGCTGAAATGTTAATAGCCTTTTCAACTTATAGTTCTTTTTCACTGACAATTACAATTTGCATAGCTTAAAATTTAATACTATGATTAGTACTAATGTCCTATATTTTACTTTGTAATCTAAATGAGTAAAATATTATTTTTGTAGTTCACTGGCTCTTATACTTAGGCTATAATGTACAGGGTGTATTTCATTATGCAGATGAGCAATGGATGTCGCCTAACATGATTTAAATGGGTCAACAGTATTTTCCTATTCACATTAATCATCCAGACAGCCACAAAAAAAAAAAAGCAGTAAAAAAAAGAAAAGCCTTGAAAACTAACCTAGGAAATCTCTTTTTGTCAACGACTCTTCCTGCTAGTCAAGCAACAACAGCAAACACGTGCCAGAGGAGCGGGGAGCCTGGCACATCGGGCAGCCTTGTGCTGCTCCGCGGCCAGTGCCGGCAGCACTGCCCAGGCTGCCTGCGGCCCCCTGCCAAGAATGACTCTCGGTCCTGCCAAGTTCAGTGGGAGCTGTATCTTGACAAACTGAGTGAATCTGAATCGGCAAAATTTGCTCTTGGCACCGGGACATGCAAGCGTGCTGAACGTGAAGGCGGCGTGCTGCCCGCCTAGGCTGCGCTGGCGGCCGGGCTGCTCTTGCCTAAATGCACTTGTCGGAAAACTCCCACTGAAGTTGAGGCACACAGGATCAGGCCATTTATTGACAATTATTTATAAAACATATCAAAATTAATGTCTCTGTTCTCCAGCCACGCAACCATCACCTACTGCCCATTTCATACATGGCATATTGCAAATAAATCAGTAATTTATAAGTTAACACAGTCCTTCTGTGGAAAGGGAAGCTGTTCTAATAAATGCTAGGGCAAAAGAATATAAGTACAAATATGCAATATAAGTACAAATATAGAATATAAGTACAAAGCAAGGTACCATTCAGACTCATTTATTGAATACATATATTATTAAGATAAAAAAAAGAGAAGCAATCAAGATCACCTCAGACATGACAGTAATCCTCAGCACAAAATCTCTGTAAAGGCACATTAGAGATGGCACATTAGATTATATTGCAGTGTTACAGGGCTGGCAGAGCTTGCCTGGGACACCTCATGCTCTTCATACCAACAGGGCAGGTCCTGCTGGACAGCACAAGGGAGGTCTGAGCTTCTCAGAGACGGGACATGAGGCAGTGAAACAATGGGTGGGTGGGTGGTGGGACCCCTCACCTCCTCCCTCATCACTGCTGGGCACCCAGCAATGGATAGCTCAGCTTTA